ATATATATATATATATTGAGTGTTTTGAACTCTTCACTTGATATTCTCCAAGGAATAGAGTATCATTATGACAGCTTTTCAAATATTTAATACTAGATTATACTTTAAAAAATAGTTAATATGTCAACATGTATCTTCATCTTTTAAAGATTTAGTTAGTTTTCCAAAACTTATAAACATTACCATATTCATCTCTAGATTATTGACGAGGTGAAGCAATTTGATTAAGTTATAATTAATGGGATAAGTTTGATGTTTTAAGTTAGTAAAAAAAATATTTAAAATTTTATCAATATAAAAAATAATCAGTCACTTTTCAAAAGGACCATATTGATGACACAAATTGAAGAGTTAAATGATAAAATGATTTTTTCTAATAACATACAAGACAAAAATATGGTTTATCTTAACTAGTCTAATTTATCAATTTGTTTTAAAATTAAAATGATTGGTATATTTATCTCACTAGTCTATGGTGCTTCTTTTTTCACATTTTACTTGAAGTAATGCCCGTTAGAATGTGATTTTTTTTTAATTTAATCTTACAAAATTCACTTTAAAATAAGTAACTGATAAGGTAAGGATTTTCTTTCATTTATATAATTTTGTTTATCATATTTTTAGTTAATATGAGATTTTAAATTTTTTTTAATATATTTCTTCACGTCAAATACTATTAAGCTTTTTATCTAAATAAATGGTAATTTTTTTTTTTATGATCTATGATAAACTAGACTTCAAAATTATTTTTTTTTCTATACAAACTATTGGATCTTTTTAAAGTAGATTTATATAGGTCTGATACTTCGAATGTAAGTTTGAACCTAACTTAATCATGTATAAAATTAGGTTATAAAAGTAAAGATTGTCTTATTTATATGTTTTATATTTGTCATATTTCTAGTTGATAGGCAACTTTAATTTTTTTTTTCTAATATAATTTGACTTATAACTTACTATTATTATTATTATTATTATTATTATTATTATTATTATTATTTTATCATTTTTAATTAACCTCAGTACTTAAACATGTCGTGTAATAATATTACACTGTTAATTTAAATAAAATTCTACCTTTTGTGTTACATTGTTTACTTTAATTATTACACTTTTTATACTATTTAATTTCAATTTTTAATAAAATATTTGATCTTTAGCATAACTTATATTATAACCAAAAAATGTAAATAATTTAAAATTAACTAAAAAGTTAAAGCTGCGTCACTTTATATCATTTATATTTATTATCTAATTCAAAATATAATTTTATTAGATACCTCTAATATATAGTAGGCTAATTTTACGATTTTTAACTTTTAGTTAAAAGGTTATAATATTTTTAACCTTTAGTTATTACCTTGTCAGCTATTTATGTCAAACACAGTATATGTAAGAAAAAAAAATTGTTTTAAAGGGTAAAATGAGAGACAATTTTTAAAAGAATAACTCAATAATATATAGCCTTTAAAAATTAATTTGATGATAAAAATCTTCTCATAAGATAACCAAGTTGAAAGTTTACTCATCTTATACATGTTTTCTGGAGAACAATAATAGTTTATGTATTTGTCATATGTTAGATAATTAATTCATAATTATTAATTTCAATTAATTGGTTAACCTATCTCAGGACCAGCAACATGCCTGAATGAGGAGGATCCGAGGATGAAGGCTTGTATAGGGCCATGTAATGTGGAAACTTGTAACGAAGAATGCATTAGCAATGGCTACCAGACTGGCCTATGTTTGGGATTAGTTGTGTGTTGTTGTGAGAATAATTGACGACTCTATCTTGTACCCTTTCGCAAGTCCTGTATGAAAAAATAATGCATTTCTTTTAAAGTAATAATAAAAAGATTATAATCTACATCGGTTTTAGATGAACCGATATAGATTTATCTCCCTTTCTACATTCCTAATCTCATTGTTCCCACGTAGGATTTCCTGTTCAAGTGGATGTGTGACACCCTCTACCCCAAATACATAATATACAATAAATATAAAGTACATTCTTGAGTAAATAAAACTTTCTTAAAAATAAGGTTTCAAAATACATAGATAGAGAGTTCACATTCATATTTCACAAATCGTAGTCTAATGTGGAAATGATGACAAAATAAAACATCAATCTTTCCAAATAACAGTAATGAAACTCCAATGCCAAACCTAACTAAGTCCCGATGTCACATATCCTATCAGAGCATGCCCAACTGAAGCTTACGCCTCATCACCAACATCCTCATGTTGATGTTCACCTGCAACACAATTTAAACACAGACAAATAACAACAAAGGAGTGAGAAACATCTCACTCAGGTTCAAGTGCAGAAATAAAGGTTAGATAGCACACACACACACAACAAACATAAGTCACTGGTATGCAGCTTAAGCAATACCTAGCATAAGTCATTTCATCACATTGCCTATTACATCACTGGTATGCGGCCTAAGCAACACACCTGTCATAAGTCATTTCATCACATAGCTTGTTACATCACTAGTATGACTTCGTAGCCGAGCTTACGCCTACTACCACCGAGGAACCTCAGGTATGGACTTTGCATGTTGATGGGTCCTCCAACTCTAAAGGTGGTGGTGCATGTATCATATTGGAAGGGCCAAACCAAGTCACCTTGGAGCAATCCCTCAAGTTTAGCTTCAAGGTGACCAACAACCAGGCGGAGTATGAGGCACTCCTCGCAGCACTAAGGCTGGCCCGCGACCTCGGAGCTCGAAGAATGAGTTGCAGCAGCGACTCGAAACTCATGGTGGAGCAACTTAGTGGGACGTACCAGGAAAAGGACACTCTTCTACAGTGGTACTTCCACGTCGCATCCCACCAGATCTCGTCCTTTGACGAGTTCACCATACAGCATGTGCCTCGAGAACAAAATACCCGAGCTGACCTCCTATCAAAGCTCGCTAGTACCAAAAGGCCTGGACAGCACCGAACTATCATCCAGGAGACCTTGCACTCACCCAGCTTGGACGACAAAGTCATCAATGTCAGTGACAGCGAAGACCAGGGGTGGATGACAGGTATTTGGAGTTACTTGAAGGAGGGCATCCTGCCCGAAAATAAAGACGAAGCTCAGAAAATGAGGATAAGATCGGCTAAGTTCGTCATTGTCGAGGATGAGCTATTCAAGCGTGGTGTTTCCACCCCGCTGCTCAAGTGCTTGACTGGGTCCCAGGCAGCCTACGTCATCGAGGAAATTCATCGGGGCATATGTGGCATGCATTCCGGAGCACGCTCAATGGCGACCAGGGTACTCCGAGCTGGGTACTACTGGCCCACTCTGAAGTCGGATTGCCAAGACTACATTCAAAAATGCAAAGAGTGCCAGCAGTTCGGAAACACACACCGGCAACCGCCCGAAGCTCTCCACCACATGATGTCGGCGTGGCCTTTCTCCCAGTGGGGAATGGAAATCCTCGGGCCATTCTCCCTGCGAAAGGTCAACTGAAGTTCCTCCTGGTGGCTATCGATTACTTCACTAAGTGGATTGAGGCATGCCCACTCGCCAAAATCACCACTGAGAACGTGCAAAGATTTACCTAGAGGAGTATCATTTGCAGATTCGGAATCCCTCACACCCTCGTCACTAACAACAACCGACAATTCATCGCATAGGGATTCGAAGACTTCGTCCGCGAGCTCGGTATCTAGCATCTTCCGACCTCGGTGGAACACCCCCAAACCAATGGCCAAGCTGAAGCAGCCAACAAGGTCATCCTCCGGGAACTCAAGAAGCGACTGGGGAACGCCAAAGGACAGTAGCCCGACGAACTTCCCAGCATCCTCTGGGCGTATCATTGTACCCCCCAGTCAACCATGCAAGAAACGCCATACAGGCTAACTTACGGAGTTGATGCAATGATCCCAGTGGAAGTCAGAGAGACATCCCACCGACGTCAGGTTTTCAATAGTGAGCAGAACGCTCAAGAGTTGGCTACCGACCTCGACTTGGTGGACGAGCTTAGAGGCGAAGCTCAAATCCACGAAGAAGCCTGCAAGCTCCGAGCATCCCGAAGGTACAACACACGAGTGCGTCCTCGCTCTTTCCGAGTTGGCGACTTGGTGTGGCGATTGCTAGGCGAAGCATGGAAAGACACGTCAGACGGGAAGCTTGCACCCACTTGGGGGGGCCCATTCCGAGTTACAGAAGACTTGGAAAATGGAGCGTATAGACTGGAAGAACTCAGCGGAAAACCTATACCGCGAACTTGGAATGCTACGCATCTCAAGTTTTATTTCATTTGAATTTTGTACGAATGAGCTATGCACTCTTTTCCCGCCTCAGTCTTTTGTCCCAAAAAATAGAAAAATGGGTTTTGGCTGAGAGGGTTTTTAACGAGGCACATTTACATAAGCAATAAAATGACTCATTCTATTCAATTCACATTCCTTTCGCATTATTTTATGTTTTACGCAAAATAGAAGTCGAGTTCGAACCAATTTATTTCGCTCTCACTTAAGGTCGAGTTCGAGCCTTCACAACGTGCTACTCAACGAAAACCTGAGGTCGAGTTCGAACCTTCACAAAAATCACCTAACGAAAACCTAAGGTCGAGTTCGAACCTCGGTGTGACTAAGGTCGAGTTTGAACCTTCACAAAAATCACCTAACGAAAACCGGAGGTCGAGTTCGAACCTTGGTGTGACTAAGGTCGAGTTCGAACCTTCACGAAAATCACCTAACGAAAATCGAAGGTCGAGTTTGAACCTCGATGTGACTAAGGTCGAGTTCGAACCTCACGAAAATCACCTAACAAAAACCAGAGGTCGAGTTCGAACCTCGGTATGATTGAGGTCGAGTTCGAACCCTCACAAGAATCACCAAATGAAAACCCGAGGTCGAGTTCGAACCTCAGCATGATCAATTCGAGGTGGAATTCGAACCTTCACAAAAAATTACTTAACGAAAAACTGAGGTCGAGTTCGAACCTCGACACGATCAACTCAAGGTAAAGTATCACCAAGTATAAAAGCATACAACAGACATCGAACGTGTGTCTCAAAACGCGCGAAAAGCAAAAATCAAGCGCAAACGCAAATAGACAAAGAAAGATACGTATATACATAGCCATGTTTACCGAGTTCAATACATGAATTCAAGAAAAGGAAAAATAAAGCAGGAAAAACTCAACTAAGCTATTACAAAATTTGGCCTACGCAGAGGCATTCTCACTAGAGTTGTTCTCGAGGTCATCCTCCTTTACCAGCTTCCCAAAGCGGACTACTTTCTCCACATGCATGGCAGAGAAGTCAAACCCCGGGGCAAGAAGCCTTGCCTGGCGAGCTGCCTTGAGGAAACCCTGTTTGTGCTCAACACGATAGCTCGTTCGGTTTCCTCCAGCTTCTTCTCCAGCACCGCCCTCTCCTCCTTCTCTGCCTCCATGGAAGGGCCAAACCAAGTAATTGGGGTGTTACATTGGTCTCTAGAAAGTGTGTCTAGAAACAGTGCATGGGTGCTCTATTTATAGATTTTCGGAGAGGCCAGAACGTCCCATTTCAAATCCAGAACGGCACATTCTGGATCCTTGCGGCATATGTAAACTTGGCATCTGGAATGGCCCGTTCTAAAATCAGAACGGCCTGTTCTGGGTCTGCGTGTTAGCACACAACGACCATATTTGGAACGGCCCGTTCTAAAACCAGAACGGCCCGTTCTCAATTAGAATTTGTGGGCCATTTAAGTAGCTTGGAACAGCCCGTTCCAGTTTGGGAACGGCCCGTTCAGGGCTACTAAATCACGCTTGTTTTAGTAGTTTGGAACGACCCGTTCCATATTTGGAATGGCCCGTTCTGGGCTACTAAGTCACACTTAAAATTACTAAATTACCCTCATCAAAAGCATGAAAACTAGGGTGTTACAGGATGGAGGGCATGTGTTTTATAAAATTCAACATTTTGCAAGCCAAAATAACATTCAATCCAAATATGTATAAACATCTTATTCAAGGAAAGATAAATTAAATAGTACTTCTAATTCAATCCAAGTGATGAGTTTGTCTGACCAAAACCTAAAGGAACAGAAATAGAACTTTTCACCCTGACATAAAAAACTAACCTTCCCCAATCCCCCACGATTCTAAAATTCAGTCAACAGAGGATGCAAAATCAACTGATTAATGAAATCATCACAAATGAAGGTGCGGCTGGTGACCCCAATTTGTACCAAACTAAATAAACAACGAAAAAGGCATTTTAACAACCAACATTCACCAAATACTTCCATTCCAAGTTTTCAATTCACACAAACCTATAAGACACTAATAAAGTTTGCAATCAATAGCTTGAACTCCCTCACGTCGGAATCCCTATTCTGCTTCTTGCACGCCTCAAGCGCCTCCTCCACTCTCCTCAGTAACGCTCTAAGAGGCTCGTTAGACTCCGAAGTCGCCATCACGAGGTCGTGGAAGGCCTCTTGGCGGAGCGGGTCTCGCTTGAGGATTTCCTCGAACAGGTTTCGTGCCTGAGCGTGTTCGTCGTTGTAGATGTGCATGTTCGCCTTCAGCAACGACCACTCATACTCCTCCAGGTCAACTTCAATCAAACGGTCCAGAACCGCCATCGCTTCCTCGATCTTGCGAGCTTTGATTTTGCACTCCATGAGCGCGTGTAGCGTGTCAGTGTATTCGGGATTGGCAGTGAGGTGCTCTTCAAGAGCTCTCTCTGCTTCCTGGGCGACCTCCTCCGCGGACTTGGCCTGCAGGGACAGCGAGAGAGAGGCAACGAAGACGGGCGCGTGGAAGCGCATGAAGAAGAAGGCGGTGGCAGCGACGACGATGCAGGAGGTTTCGACGAGGGGGGGAGAAGAATGAGGTTAGGGTTTGGATAAGAGGAGATGAGGGTTTAGGGTTTGGTGGAGTGCGAAACGCGTGGTCTTTTTTTGAGGCTCTGATTGAAG